ATGTTATTATTAAAAAAAAAAAAAAAAAGCTTTACAACCTCTTTAATTAACATCTATTACATTTTGTATCCTCGTTCACTCTGCAAAGGCTATTGAAAGCTCTCAGCACTGCTGGGACAGGAAATTCCACTGATGAGGTCATTCATCCTGTCCAATATACTTTATATGCACACACGGCGAGTTGCATCATTCTCAAAGTCCCAGAAACAAAATGCCGAAGGAAAATAAAAGTTAATGAGTATTAGACGTATTAGTCACTGTGTCATCAGATACAACATCAAAGCTAAACATATTTGTTATTATCTCGCAGAGATCCTTCTTGTGGTCCTTACACAGCGTACAAGCAGAGCTGAGCAAACAAGAGTCAATCAGATATTTTATTTTCCTCCGTCTAGTTCTGTATATCTCAGGTCCTAAAGCTTGTACATGTGCATCTGTGCAGCATAACAGACTGAGGATCTTGCAAAAATGGCAAATTAGTTCTCTGTCTTTCTCTTTTTTAACATTCTTTTAAGTATCTCATTGACATTTAGTTTGCAGAAGCACTGGGTGTCATAACTGCTTTCATCCTTTTTATGCTTCTCTGTTTCTGCATCCTAGTGCTGCTGATCGCCTGCAGTCTCTTTCAGCCATTTCCTGCCTACCTGCACTCTATCCAGCACCAGCTGCACATCATTGCCCGGTACCACCTTCCTGTTGGTGACAACAGCGGACAATGCCTGCGCAATGTTTGTCAGAACAGACACTTGGGGGTTTATTTACTAAAGCTGGAGAGTCCAAAATCAGACTCCCTTCAGCATAGAAACCAATCAGCTTCTAACCTCAGCTTGTTCAATGAAGCTTTGGCAATGAAACCTGGAAGCTGATTGGCTTCTATGCAGAAGTGAGCCTGATTTTGGACTCTCCAGCTTTAGTAAATAAACCCCTTGTTGTCTTCAGTAGTGGGGCATGTTACAGGGTGACAACATCGGAGAGCAATCAAGAGACAGTTGTCACCCATAACAGGAAGTTCTTAGACCAGACCCTTCATGGCGGGATCACCAGAAATTATTTTTAATGAAAGTTGCAGATTTGAGATTGCTGAAAATTACTTTTTAAATTACATTAATATCAGGTGTCAGCAGGTGTTTTTGTAATTTTGTGTTTTCATGCATTGTGATTCCCCTTTAAAATGCATGTAAATGATGAATTATGTACCAGTCTACTAAACAGAACCATTTTCATCCCTTTACATTTTAGCACGGTGCTTTTTTCTGTGGACAGTGGTATAAGAGTGTTTTCCTTGAAAAAAGTGTGTTACATAGAAATGAATGAGGCAGCACAACCATTAGAGAAGTGCTATGCACCTGTGGATGGTTCTTCCATGTGGCTATGATGCAGATGGATCAGGTGTCATACGGTTTCCTTACATTTTTCATTTATTGTGCAGAGTAATCAGCAGTGCAAAATACTATTAAATGTTCTTCCAGAATCATCTTTAACAACTAGGCACTTATCTACATCAAAAATTAGACAGTTTTAGTAATCCAGTAGACATGCAGTGCCTACATTCAGTAGGTTGTCAAAGTCTTGCTTCCTTAAAATGGTTGTAATGGTTGAAATATGAACAAAGCATATCCCTCTATAGTGTTTACTTGTCTCAATCTAAAGCACTAAGGGGTAGATTTACTAAAACTGAAGCATTCAGAATCTGGTGGAGCTGTGCATGGTAGCCAATCAGCTTCTAAGCAAACCTTGTTCAGTTACACTTTGACAATAGAACCTGGAAGCTGATTGGTTTCTATGTAAAGTTGCACCAGATTTTGCACTCTTCGGTTTTAGTAAATCAACCCCTAAGTGTCATTTCAGTCTGCTGCCTTGTTTCTCTGTTATAAGCCTGAGTCACTTCTGATAAGTTTTCCTGACACCAAGAGAAAAAAGGTGCCAGAAGAGGGCTCAGCCTGTGATTGACAGCCTCAGCTCTGTTCCTGTGTGCTGTTGAAGGGGGAGTGTCCCTTTCCTCCAATCAGCTCTCCTTACAGATGTAACTTCAGCACTGGTTGGACAGAGGAGCATCATTCTCCAGGTCACATTGATAAAACACAAGAAAATCTGCTTAAAGTGGTTGTAAACCCTTACCTATACCCGGTGAAGTGACTGGCCTCAGTTGATACACAGAGATGAAAGAAATATTGTCCTACATAAGTTGTACCTGTTTATCTACATCTGTATGTTCCCTACATCCATTCAAAGGGTAGAATCTACACATCTCAGATCTTTCAGCTCTGAAAATCAGGGGCGGGGAGCTGCAGTTACACACTATACATGAGTTCTGAGAGCTGATTAGAGGGAAGGGACACCCCCCTCCCCCAGTACACGTTAACAAAGCTGAGGCTGTCAATCACAGGCTGTGCCTTCCCCTGTAACCTTTTTTCTCTTGATGTCAGGAAAACTAGTCATAGCTGATTAATGCTGATAGCAGAGAGACAAGGCAGCAGACAGAAATGACACTCAGTACTCTGGACTGAGTACACACTATAGGGGGATATGCTTTGTTCATATTTCATGTCTGAAGTTTACAACCACTTAAGTTCACCCTGGCACCCAAGGCATGCTGAGATCAGGGGCGGACTGACCATTCGAACACTCAGGCACTGCCCGAGGGCCCGGGGTCAGTAGGGGACCCCATGAAATGCCCCTGGTACTTTTTATAGGCTTTTTTGAGTGTGCTTTGAGTGTGGGCAAGGACACAGGGTCCCATGATCCCCTATTGTTCAGGGGCCCCATGAGTTGTCAGTCCGCCCCTGGCTGAGATCGTAAGCTGAGCTGGTCAACCAGAAATAAATTGCAAACCGATAATGAAGAAGTTTTTCTGCAATACAACCTAGCTTCCAGCTATTTTTAAAAAAGACCTTAGTTCCACATTTTCCATTGCGTTTTGCATTTTGCAGAAATGCACAGCAGTCCGTTTAACATGATTTCCTATGGGACAGGTTCACATTTCCGCGTTTTCACCCGGTGTGTTTTTTGAAAAGGGTCAGGGACTTTTTTAAATGCAAAACATTGCATTTTTGGTTCAATAGACTTCAATGGAAACGCTGCAGAAAAGCATGTAGTGTGTTTTTTATGTGTTTTTGATGAGTTTTAGTTGGAAAAAATGCAAAACGTATCAAAAACAAATGTACAAAAACGCAAAACGCACTACAGAAACAGATCAAAAGCAAACTGTATAGGTGTAAACCTAGCCTTAAAGTGGTTATAAGCCCTTATCTATGCCCAGTGAAGTGACTATCCTCGAATGATATACAAAGGTGAAACAAATCCTCCTACATACGTTGAACCTGTTTATTTGCAGTCATTTGTCCTGTGTATCCTTGTAAAGCTCAGAAATGAAAAGGATTTTGCAGATTCACAAAGCAGAGGGCAGGGATCTGCAGATACATACTGTGCAAGACCTCTGAGAGCTGATTGGAGGAAAGTGACCCACACCCCCTTCACACAGCCTATAGTAACAGTGCTGAGGCTGTCAATCAGCTGGAGGTCCCTCCCTTGTCACCTTTTTAGCTCTTGGTGTCCAGAAAACGTGTCAGAAGTGATTCATACTGATAGCAGAAGAACTAGACTGCAGAGAGAAATGACACTTAGGGGCTGATTTACTAAAGGCAAATAGACTGCACTTTCCAAAGTGCAGTTGCTCCAGAACTTAGTAAATGAGCAGAAGCTGACTTCCATCATCCAATCATGTGCAAGCAAAATAAGTTTTTTTCAATTTTTCTTGCACATGATTGGGTATTTCTTGCAAAGTGAATCCTTTCCTCATTTACAAAGCTCTGTAGCAATTGCACAGTGAAACTGCACCTTGTATGGGGCACAGTCAATTTATTTCAGGTAATTATATAGCACCGTCAATTTACACAGCACTTTACATCTATATTGTACATTCACATCAGTCCCTAACCCTCAAGGGGCATACAATCTAAGGCCCCTAACTCATGTTCATACATACACATACTAGGGTTAATTTACATAGGATCCAATTCATCTACCAGCATGTCTTTGGAGTGTGGGAGGAAACTGAAATACCTGGAGGAAACCCACGCAGGCACAGGGAGAACATGAACACTCCAGGCAGGTGGTGCCGTGGTTGGGATTTGAACCAACGACTCTAGTACTGCCAGGGGGAAGCGCTAACCATTTAGCCACTGTGCTGCCCGATTTGCCTCTAGTAAATCAACCCCATAGTTATTCATTGCACACTACAGGTTAGGATGCACCTAAGTAGTCAGAGCACTGAAAGTCTAAACAGAAAATGTAAGATGGCATGCTGGGACCTGTAGTTCTATAGTAGCTGGAGGGTTCCAAGATTCCCATTTGCAATCAGAAGAGAGATACAAGCACACCTGTCAGTGAAGTACAGGGGCTGCCATTGCCGGTCCATGCTATTTGCTTGGCTGTGCCTGCTTTCCATTCTTTGAAATCACAGACCCAGAACATACACTCACAATCTGCAATTGTCTGTATTTAGGATGGAAATTGTTGAAGCCAAAGGGACCGTACGACAACGATTAGTTAATCAGGGGCAGCAATGGTTCCTCCATAATTCTCTAATGACAGGTGTACTCCAGGCTCCATCACATCATGTGCATTGAGCTGCATTTTCCTGCACCCCACCGCACATGTATGCTGTGAACAGGACACATAGAAAACAAGGCCACAGGCTGGAGTTATTTTTAGACGGCAGCTTTCGGCGGTGCTGGAAAGTGGAAAGTAAAATTTAAAGACGGAAACTTGGCAGAAATAGCAGTACGTCTGCCCTCTGGGATCCCGCACTCTATCTGCTGGTAATAGTCGGAGCTCCGCCTGACCACATTGTTTTCAAGACCTCACCCTACGTTTCGTAAAAAGGAAAGTAGGAGGGAAATTCCCTGGAAGAAGCCTCAAAGCAGCTAATTGGTGGAGCGAAGGAAGTACGAGGACTATATAAGCAGATCAGCATGCTGTGTGTACTCAGCTGATTCACAATGAACTGTAGCAGTGTAGTGATGACTCCATCCTTCTCCATGTGGGGAGAAGCACAGCCAGGGCTCTTCCTGCAACCTGTATGGGACTATGTGCTATCTAAAGAGCACATCATCAGATCTCCCTTCTATCCAGTGCTGTTCTCCTTCACTGTCTACATGGCTTTCTGTCTCCCTTACCTGGCACTGGACATCCTCTGTCTGAGAATACCAGCCTTGAAGAAGTACCAAGTGCAGCCTAAATCCAGACCCACGTTGGCCATGGTGCTGCACTGCTTGGCACACACCGTCTACAGTCATCTGGTCTTCATATTCCCACTGAGTGTTGCCTATTGGTACTGGAGACCGGTGCAACTGCCATCGCTGGCGCCTGAGCTGCATCGCGTTGTGTTGGACATCATTGCCTGCATGCTGCTCTTTGACTTCCAGTACTTTGCCTGGCACTTGCTGCATCACAAGGTCCCCTGGCTGTACAAGACCTTCCACAAGACTCATCACAAGTACACGGCCACCTTTGCCTTGGCAACGCAATACTCCAGTGCATGGGAGATGCTGTCATTGGGGTTCTTTGCTAACGTCAGTCCAGTAATGTTGGGGTGTCATCCTTTGACTGAGATGGCCATCTTCATCATCCATATCTACCTGTCTGTGGAAGATCACTGTGGCTATGACTTTGCTTGGTCCACACACAGACTCGTGCCATTTGGTCTATGCGGAGGGCCAGGACATCATGACCTCCATCACCAAAAATTTGTCTGGAACTATGCACCTTATTTCACTCATTGGGACAAGCTGTTCAATACACTAGCACGGCAGACATCGAAGGAGCCGCAAGACTGATGTCATTGCACAGACTATATTGCCAGATTACAGACTATATTGCCAGATCTTCATCTCCAAGGCATCTAATGCTACCTGGTTGAAGGAGAAGACACTGGACTGTGGTCTCCAGGCTCAGGGATGACTGTGACACAGAACTGTTTGATAGACTTTCTGCTCTACACTGTTTCCAGAATAAGAGGTTATCCATGAGCTCTGATAAGATTTGCACTTTAAGAAAAAAAAGTTGATATTGTACATGTTGTATTTTTACATATTTATTACACTATGGAAACTCATTAGTGATAATTGTATTGTACGTGTTATTTAAATATATGCTAATTATGTTCTTAGGAATGTACTGTGGTGAATGCCACTAAAGAAAATGAAGGAAGCTTGTGTTGTACACTGAAGCACAAGGTACATGTTACACCGAAGAATGTCATAGTATGTATGCAGAAGGTTTGGGAAAGTATTTGCTGACTGATCATTGATGTGATAAATGATGAGTTTCTACTGCACTGAAGTAGTCGTTATTGCTTTATAAGGGTCAGGGAATTGATGTTAGAAAGAATGAATGTATGTTTAATTGTAAAAAGGATATAAAGAAAAAGCGAGGTGTTTCCAAGGGCCAAATATGCTCAGTGATTAGTGATGTAAAGTACTGAAGTTGATCTAGTAAAGCGTTTTATGTTTTTTTTAACCTTAAGTGTTAGCACTAGACACAGCTGGCTGTGAAAATCGTATCATCTACCATTTTCCCCTTTTTTATCTGATGATATATATATATTTTTTTTGTTAAAAAAATGTGACTATATTTGTACAAAAGATGACATTAATAAATTATTATTTATTGTTAACAAGTACATGGTATCAGTGTGTTCACTATACTGTACATTATGCATTAGGTGTACAGTATATAAGGCATGGCTCCCAAATGTCTCTGATTTCGAGGGACTGTCCCTGATTTGGAACAAAGTTCCTCTGTCCCTCTTCCCTCCTCGTTTGTCCCTCATTTTGGTCTAATCTATATAGTTGTATATAAAATGCACTTTTTATCTTTCAAATACTAACCGCAGGTGTCAAACTGGTGGCCCTACAGCTGTTGCCAAACTACAAGTCCCATGAGGCATTGCAAAATTGACAGTTACAAGAATGACTCCCAAAGGTAGAGGCTTGATGGGACTTGTAGTTTTGCAACAGCTGGAGGGCCACCAGTTTGACACCCCTGTGCTAAACCTTTCATCCAATTTGTAAACTGCTGCATTTGTAAATTTCAATAACTAGTATAAAGGAATAGTAGTAGTAAATAAAAAAGCCCTTGTGGGTTTAACTAATCATTTTTTTTTTGTTTAATTGTCCTTTAAGAGTGTGTCCTATTCCTACATAGTTTTGCTAATAGGTGTCCTTGTTCCCATTTCAAAAAGTTGGGAGGTATGTATACGGTATCTAGTAATAACTGCTTCCAGCAATACACATTTGCCAGAATATGGGATACTTAAATGAACTTAAAGTAGAAATATAGGCTTTTCTTTCATTTTGGATAGAGCAAGGGACGGTTATATCCCGTCAGATTTTTTTCACCATTTATGTCCCATTGTGGAGATTTCCATTCACATCCTGTACCATAGTCAAACAGGAAGTGAGAGGAAATCCCTGCAAATTAAGGGAATTCCTTGGGGGGGCCCCAGGTCACCAGAACTAGTGTCCCCATTGGGACATTGAGTGAATCTCCCTAACGGGGGGCACATATAGCAATAAAAACTGACAAGCACTCTAATCTCTCTCCACTCTATCCAAACTAAAAAAAATTCTGCCTTTAGTAATACTTTAAAGGGTTAGTTCACCTTTGCCAAAAAAATGCCTATGCAGATAAGGGGTGTCTGTAGATAAAGACAAACTGTGCAGCTCTGACTAAAGTTGAATAATGCCCCTGATAGAGGTGTAGGCCATTTACTTACCTTAAGAAGCCTGACTGGAATACTCCCAGGACATTGCTAAGTGAGGCCTAGTCATGACTACTCACCTCCACCATCACAGGAGTGAGCTCTCAAAGGCTGAGCTCAGAGCTACTTTATCAGGGGAGAGAAAGAGCATGTGAGATAGTTTGAATGAGAAAGAGCTCACTCCTGAGATGGTAAAAGTGAGAAGTAATGACTAGACCTCACTTAGCAACGTCCTAGCAACATCCTGGGAGTAATCCAGTCAGGCTTCATGAGGTATGTAAATGGCAAGGACATTATTCGACTTTGGTCAAAGCTGCACTGTTTGTTTTTATCTACCCCTTATCTGCATAGGCAGTTTTTTGTAAAGATGAACTAACCCTTTAACCACTTCCTGTCTGGACACTTTCACCCCCTTCCTGTCCAGGGCAATTTTCAGCTTTCAGCGCTATCACACTTTGAATGACAATTGCGCGGTCATGCAATACTGTACCCATATGAATTTTTTACCATTTTTTTGAGACAGATAAAGCTTTATTTTGGTGGTATTTATTCACCGCTGGGATTTTTATTTTTTTTCTGCTATGTAAATGAAAACGTCCAAAAATTTTGAAAAAAAGTGTTTTTTTTTAATAAAATTTTGCAAATAAATAATATTTCATCATAAATCTTGGCCAAAATTGATTTTGTTATTTTTTTAGTATAAAAAAAAAATCCAAATTAGTTTATAACCAAAAATTATAATTTGTAAACTTTTTTATTACATTTTTATTTTATTTTTTTATATTATTATTTTTTTTTTATTTTATTTTTTTACATACTGCCACCCTAGCAGTACAGTGTCACCATGGTGACACTGTACTTACTTGTGGGGGGTGATGAAGATTTTTTTTCTTTTACACTGATTGCTTTTACACACATATAGGATGTAAAAGCAATAATTTCTCTTTCTCTCTGTCTGCATTCTTGCAGTCATTGAGAAGTACTGAGTGAGCTGTGATTGGTCACAGCTTGTCACATGGTACAAGGCTGTTGTGGATAGCCTTGTACCATGTGACCTCTGTGATCATTCACAGATTTCACACGTAGTAAGCAATGATGTCACAAGTGACATCTTGCTTACTACTTTGCATGTGATCACTGATTGGCCAATCGCTGATCACATGATCGGGACCTCGTACAGAGGTCCCGTCCGACGATTGGTGTTTCACTGTGTCCGGAGGACACAGCGGGCACCGGATCGCATTGCTGCGCGCTCCCAGGGAGCGCGCACAGCTAGAAAAGGCGGGTGCCGTTTATGAACGGCAACCCGCCCCTGGACTGCCACCGCCCTGCCGTTTTAAACTGCAGGCGGATAGCAAGTGGTTAAATGAACATAAATTAGTTAATGGCAATGGTAATATAGCTAAACTAATTGTGATTTACATTTTTGGTCAGGTGAGATACATGGAGCTATAAACTGACAAAAATAGCCAAACAATAATGGTAAATAGGGGCTGAGTTATTAACCACTTCCCGACCGCCCCATAGCAGAAATACTGCTATAGGGCGTCACGGGTGCGCAAAAATCACATATATATATATATAAAAGTGATTTTGCTTTTCTGGGTAGGGGGCATGCACACGCCACGCGCACCCTACCCGCGCCGCCATTTTGCAGCTACAGCTGTCAATCACTGTGTCCTGGCTGGTGATTACCCGCCGGCGCCCTGTGATTACCGAGGATCTCCGACGGAGAGGAGGACTGTTGTGTTTACTAACAGTTCTCCTCTCTGTCAGCTCGGGCACACTGCTTTGAATGGCTGTACACAGCACAGCCATCCAAAGCAGTGTGCTTACAGTGAAGCACACAGACACAGCCCCCTAGTAAAACACTCCCTGCACACAGTTAGCCCTTTGATCGGCCCTCATGTTAACCCCTTCCTGCCCAGTGCTATTTATACAGTGTCAGTGCTTTTTTAGCACTGATCACTGTATTGGCGTCACTGGGGATGTCAGTGACACCAAGTCAGTTCCCCCCAGTGTCAGAATGTCTGCCGCAGTCCCGCCATAAGTCGCTGATCGCCACCATTACTAGTATATAAATATTTTCAGTAAATATACCACCATTTGTAAATGCTATAACTTTCACGTAAACCAATTAATTTACATGTATTGGGATTTTTTTTTAGCAAAGACTTGTAGCAGAATACATTTTAGCCTAAATTTATGACGAAATTTGATTTTTCATTTTTTTTACTGGACATATTTAAAGCAAAAAGTCAAAAATATTGTTTTTTTCTCAAAATTGTTGGACTTTTGTTTTATAGCACAAAAAATAAAAAATGCACAGGTGATCAAATACCACCAAAAGAAAGCTCAATTCGTGGGAAAAAAAGGACGTAAATTTCATTTGGGTGCAACGTTGCATGACTGCGCAATCGTCAGTTAAAATAACGCAGCGCTTAACACAAAAAAATGGGCTGATCAGGAAGGGGGGTAAATCCTCAGGAGGGCAGGTGGTTAAAGACCAAGCAAAGAGTGTATGTTCACAATAAACAATCAGATTTAAAGTGTATGTATACTCCAACAATACATTTCCCTTATTTGCTCCATGTTCTGTTAAATAAACCATTGAAAGTGTTTCATTAAAGCTGTTTGACAAGTGCAAAAAAAAATATCTGTTCATCCAGCCAGGAATAGTGTGAGCTTATAACTTCCTGTGTTCTCTGATCTGGGCTGTCATCAGTCAGCATTGTGCTCTGCTATCCCTGTAGACTACAAGACACCTCCCCCTGTTATGAAGAAGAGACTGAGGTGTCATGTAGTCATAGCACACTCCTTGTACTAGGGTGACAGTACTGCTCAGTATGGACAGGACAGGAAGTATGGTAATGGCAGAACAAAGTGTAAAAAAAGAAAATGAATTCAGCCACCATCTAAGGACCTGTGAGCTGCAATACTATCAATTTTTGTTCTTGGATCTAGAACGCCTGCCAGCTACTGATAAACTGCTCTTTGAAAAGTGATCCACCATGGATTGCTTTTCAGAGGACAGGAAGAATTACCATGTGTCTGAAAGAGTCCTAATGGATGTGT